TATATATATATATATATATCCATTTCACTTGAGCCACGTTTTACAAATTCTCTTAATAATGGCTGTTAATTAAATTAATATTAATTTCTGTTGCTCTTTTATTCATATCGTGTTCAGTAATTGACAGTAACCTATGTTATATTTCACAGCACATAAAACGATTTTAATGATTAAGACACAAAGGATGGCTTTCATCATAGTTGCTGGGAAATTCGATGTTTTAATTGTGACGAAGTTTTGAGATAGTTGATCCTTTTTTTTAACTGAAGAAGGGAGCGAAATTTCTCGTTGCCTAAGGAGGCATTTAGGCTTACGCAGGCTCCGACGAAGTACGTTAAGTCTATTGTATATATACATATATCAACAGATTAGAACATAAGAAAGAAGCATTCTTAGATCCAGTTCATGATAAACCACAAACTATGGCACGAGATCGTAAACCATAAGGTAACGAAGAGCGCATGCGTTGTTATACCTGAGGTGGCACTTGGTGACAATTTGCAAATTAAAGACGACTCCGTGGTCAGTTGAAGTGGGGAACATTAGAGAGTGAGGTTAAAAACAGAACAGGTAAGTCACCTGTGATTCCATTTCAAGTGCACAGTGCTTCGCGTGTATATCTGCCCCGTCGTCCCGAGGGCCGGGCCCTCTCACTTACGAGAAGGAAATAATTTATTTTTCGTTGCCCTCTGATTGTATGGGATTCATGAAGCGAATAACAGTTCAGACTTAGCACGAAACATTGCATATTATTATTATTATTACTACTACTACTACTACTACTACTACTACTACTACTACTATTACTGCTACTGGTGACGAAGTTAGTATCACATTCAAGTTGCCTACATCCAGGTACATTACAGTTTATACTAATCAATTTCATGTGCAAAGCTGGTCGAGATATTCTATGTTTTTCTTTTTTTCTTGGCACTATTGCCCCAGTGGGCCTAGGCATACCTCCATGAACTTCTCCGTTCACTTCGGTTTTTCTACATCTTACACACTGGGTAGGACTCCTTGGGCGGGTGATCAGCTCGTCGCAAGGCCTCTACCTGTACACAAACACAGAAAAACGCACACACACACAAACTAAACATCCATGCCTGAGTGGGATTCGAACCCACGATCCCGGTTTCCAAGCGAACGAAGACAGTACATGTCTTAGACCGCTCGGCTACCGTGACCGGCTCTCTGTGTTTCTGGAACCCGAAAATCGATCAGTGTTTATGAAAGCCTGTAATTGGGCCATATCCTGAAAAAGCTCAGCCTAGTCCTTACACCCCACTTCTCTGAGGCCCTTTTAATATCATTATCACCGCATCTTCTAAGCATTGTACATACATCTGTTTATATTTTTTAGAAATTCCAGAATGATTCCAAGCCGACATGAGCACATGTAATACATTACTTTTAACGGTAGTGTTTCCTGTAGACGTCATATAGGGTAAACCGAGATGAGAAACTGATCAAGGAGGGCTAACTGGTTTGGAGTTGGGGAGAGGCGGCAGTGCCCTATTTCAGAATATTATCCCAAAATTACCTGGAGAGACTGAACTAAACCACGAAAAATCCTGAATGGGAATACCCGGTAATCTGACCGAGATTCGAAGCACGCAACTCTCAAACAGACAGCATTACCGCCACACTCACAAGCTCGGTAGAATCGGGTACTTGTAGCAAAATCCATGCATCTAATTTCTACCCTTTCTCTAATCTACCACGACATGACGCCTCCTTAAGTTACGGGCGGAGGAAAAGGCCTCCAGATATGAAGGGTAGCTGAATAATAGTAGTAGTATATTGAATAAGCGCCGGTCACGGTAGCCGAGCGGTCTAAGGCATGTACTGTCTTCGTTCGCTTGAAAACCGGGATCGTGGGTTCGAATCCCACTCAGGGCATGGATGTTTAGTTTGTGTGTGTGCCCAAGGAATCCTACCGAATGTGTAAGATCTAGAAAAACCGAAGTGAACGGAGAAGTTAATGGAGGTAGGCCTAGGCCCACTGGGGCTGTAGTGCCAAGGGGGGGGAAAAAACATTGAATAAGCAGCCGCAGACCGCCGGTTGTCCTTCACATTGGGGGTTGGGCGTGGGGTTAACGACTCAGCGTAAAAAGAAAGCTTGTTATGAAATGTCACAAAGGGCCTCGGACCTGGACAAATTCTTTGGACAAAGACCTAAGATAAGAAATGAGGAGTTTCATAACTTGTGGTCTTCACCAAGTATAACAAGACAAGGAGGATGAAATGAGCAGGGCATGTAGCACGAATGCGAAGAAGACGAATGCAAATAGGATGTTGGTTGGAAAGCCAGAAGGAAAGAGACCATTAGGAAGACCAAGATATAGATGGGTGAATAATATTAAAATGGATCTTAGAGAGATAGGATGGGGTAGTATCGACTGGATTGATGTGGCTCAAAATAGGGACCAGTGGATGGCTCTGGTGAACACGGTAATGAACCTTCGGGTTCCATAATGTTGGGAAGTTCTTGAGTAGCTGCACAAGTGACAGCTTCTCGTGGAGGGCTCAGCTCCATGAGTTAGTTATCTAATAACAATACGGTAATTAGATCAAGGAAGATTGGCCTGGAATGTAGTATGCATGAGGACTAATAGTACGTAAGGTACTTACATTCAAACCCCATATAATTAGAGGCGAGTAAGGAAACTTACGTGTCTATGGGAAAGTATACTAATTAAATGACTCGCATGGAAACAGAGTATTGATATGAAGGAGTGAACTGAATTTAAGGTATTCAGGAAAGGACACCAGGACGGGCATTAATGAAGACGCTGATTAATCTTCTATAAAATTTGGGAACATTTTTGACGTCTGAACGACTATCAGCTTTCTAAGGAAAACTTAATCATGTGTAAATAAGATCGCTTTATTTGTGTGAGAAAGGCTTGGACTTTCTACGTTAAAAATGTTCTTTATTTGCACTTGATGCGAAGAGTAAAAGGGTATTGAAGATACTTAAAAATACGTCCGTTTGAATGTTTCATCTTCAAAATAACTTAAACCAATTACAATTATGTTGGTTGAGGTACTATGCTACCAGCCGGAAGGTCGCGAGTTCAAGTCCCGATGAGGTCATTGGATTTTTTCAATTGACCTAATCCTTCCAGCCTCACTATGGCCCTGGGGTCGACTCAGCCTCTAACAGAAATGAGTATTAGGAATATTCTTGGAGTATTCTTGGGGGTAAAGGGCGGCCAGCGCGTAGGGCTGACAACCTTGTCGCCATCTATGAGCCGATTGTCTACAAAATGTGGGAACCTCAGCATCTCACAACCCCATGGGCCTCCACAGCCTGTTACAGGGATAGCTTTACTTTTTTATTTTTATGGAAAATCTGCACCAAGAGTTTGGATCCTTCTCAGCCTAGATAAACCCTGTTAGATTCAACCTTGTTTACATATAATTTTCCGTCAATAATGCAACTATTTATTTCTTCATTCGCATTTACTTTTGCTATTAACACATGTTTCGGCCCCAAACGGCCATCCTCAGGTGTCCCATTATGCCAAACCTGTTACACTACACTGAGTATTGTCCATTGCACACGCGCGTAACTGAACATTTCGTAATTAAAATGTTACAAGTGCACTCAACTGTTACATGTTATGAGTTAAAAATCATTAAAGTTTGTAATTATATAAAACTCCTAATTCAACCTTATAAGGGGCTTCGTCCACTTGTTTAAGCAATATACCCTTCTTCGGTTGTTTACATTGCAGTGGCTCACCCTTTGCATATTCAAGCCCATTGTTATGCTTAAATACAAGATTGTCAAAGTCAAAGTCACATTGCAACCGACGGTGAGTCAGTCAGTAAGTCTTGGTGTCGAGCCCCATATTTATTACTGTTTGACAGTTATGATCTTGTTTTTGTTGGACGCCCTGTCTGACGAGAAATTTTCATATTATTTATATTTAAAAGAACACGAGGAAATAAGTCTATGTATATATTATACTTCAGAATTGTCGACACGGATTGGCACGAGCATATGAGACTAATAGGGCTCTTGTGAATATGGCAATGCATTTTCGGATTCCATAAGAGTGAGCCATTACTCGTGTATCTCAGCGAGTGTCACTAGAGCTTTTTAAGAACTGACTCAGCTCGATGAAGCTGGAGCATCAAGGCAGACTATCGTCAGTATTTTGTTACCAAACTCCCCTTAATGTAAGAGACTAGGTTTCACATCCACACAAAACTAAGGTAAAATTATAGCTACGTATATTTCAGTCTCTGTGAACGGAGAAGTTCATGGAGGTAGGCCTAGGTTCACTGGGGCTGTAGTGCCAAGGGGGGGAGAAAAAAAATTTCAGTCTCTGACAGACATGCAAATGATTAAAGAATGAATAGTTGGGGAAATTTGTAGGTTTCAGCATTGCATTATTCGTGAATGCAGTTTCGTGACATATTCGCGCGTCGTGAAAATTTCGTAATTTAAACTTATTCTCGTTATGTAATTCACATCTGTGTGTCGCAGAAGAAGAGAGTGGGAACCTCTTTGTCTGTACAGTTACGGAAGCGTCATTAAACAAACTAGTAACGCACCCCCACCTACAGTTTGCGGATGACCCACGTAGAGTTGGCTTGCATCTTGTCGCTAATTACATGTCGCACGGCCAACCGTGAGGTACTGCTACAAATATGTAGGCGAGGTTCATCTATTCTGGTCACAAGAGACAAATGCAATTACACATTTCGATACTATTCTCATCGCCAACGGCCTCCAACCTCTACTTATCCGCCCCACACAATCGCCTGCAATAAAGCTCTTGCAGCTGCAGAAAGTCACACCAAAGATGCACAACTCGCGACTGGACATGCGCACGATAGGCAACGTGACGAGTGTTGAAGTCAAGCAACACCAGCGTGTCTGTCATGGTACTCTTCGATCTGCCACTTTCGTGTATTCCTAACAGAACACTGGCAATTAGATTAACTCTTTCTAGCGGACCAACTAAGTAGGTAACTATCTGCAGCCCTTAGTGGACCTTGGCAGCTTCTTCAGTTTCTTAATCTGTACAGAGTCGGTAGGAATCCTTGGACGGGGGATCAGGCCGTCGCAAGACCGCTACCTGCACATATAACAGCACAAACACAGAATAAACGCAGCCTTGAGCGGGATTCGAACCCACGATACCAGTGTTCGAGCGAGCGAAGACCCCGCGGACACTGTGATCGGCGAGCAGATAATTCCCCGCCTTTCTAACTGCAGATGGAAACATGCCCACCTTCCGAAACACTGTGCCCTCTTCAAAACACTAGACGACGGGGCGAGCAAACGTGATTACTACTTCTTATTTTCTCAAAGCTAATTTTCAATAGTAACATAAACAAAAACAAACTCCGTGGCCTGTAGTCCGCTAGCGAACTATGCCGATTGAGCGACCGCCGCTTGTCGGCGATGTTAGTGCCAACTTTAGCGGATAGAGGATGTCGCGTCCTCAGCGCAACGGATCCCCACGGCCGTTAATTTCGGTTTTCTAGACCGGAGCCGCTATTTCCTTCAAATAGCTCCTCAATTATCCTCATGAGGCTGAGTGGACTTCGCTCCACAACAACTACTTCTCAGAAAATCTGGTAGCGCCGGGAATCGAACCCGGACCTCTGGATCTGTAGCCAGGAAATCTGACCACTAGGCCACAGAGGCCGTCATAAATAAAGAAAAGAAATTGAAAATGATAAATAATGGAAAACAGAAAGAGATGTGTCTGTTACTGTTAATAATACTCGTAAAATTATTATGTACGCCATCTAAGGAAATATGTAGGTTTCATAGCTACAGAAACCGAGTACAGTAAAAGCTGCAATACTCGTCAGTAAAGACCTGGAAATCTATAGTAACCGGAAATTGACTAAGTTGAATAAAAGAGTGAAATACTGGTTTCTTTTGGATTATATATACACCATGTTACCTACGTAGTATAATAGGAAAAGTGTCAGGGAAAGGAGGACAGGATATAAAGTAGCAAATTAAACGGTTAGACATGCCCGAAAGGTGGCTAAGTACACTAAGATACACATTAGGTCTAACGATCTATTAACCGGATAATTACGACATCCGGAAACCCTCTCATCCCGAAGTGCCGGATATGGCAACATCTACTGTGATGCTAAATAACATAAGTTTACAATAATCAGAAACCTTCAGAATTGTTTTCCAGCGATGATACAAGCATATACGTACTTTCTAAAGAAGTGAGAAAATTGGCTAGAACTTCATAATTACCACTTCGTTCTTAAAAAGTAAGATATCTCACCATCAGCCTAATTACAAGAGAAGGGGGTGTAAAACTCTATTTAAACTCAACGGCACCTTGACTGAGGCCCGTTGACACCAAGCCAAGCGGGCCCAGAATTCTTAAAATAATGCAGAAAGGTGACCCATTTGTCATTTGTTGTTGCAATAAACAGTGCATTAAGTTAAGACTCTGCATAGTAGGCCTACATTCCGAATATGGGTGAGCACGAATATGCTGTGAATATCCTAGAAATATACTTTCCTGAATTAGGTCTATAATTTTAAAAACTTGCCGCTTTAAAACTTACCCGTTACATTAATTTAAATGCGCATGTGTAATTAGAGAATGGTACAAGTGCGCTTTGGCATGTACAGTCTTCGCTCGCTTGGAAACCGGGATCGTGGGTTCGAATCCCACTCAGGGCATGGATGTTTGTGTGCGTTTTTCTGTGTTTGTGTACAGGTAGATGCCTTGCGACGAGCTGATCACCCGCCCAAGGAGTCCTACCGTATGTCTAAGATCCACTAAACCGAAGTGAAACGGAGAGTTTCATGGAGGTAGGCCTAGGCCCAAATGAGGGCTGTAGCGCCAATGGAAAAAAAAAGTGTCCTTTACCAAGATCCATCTCATTCATTACCGGTCCCGCTGGCGAGCCCTTCACTTTATCGTATTACTGCACACCTAAGTTGACCCGGATTTTCATGCAATTGTAAATTTTAATGACGCGTTCCATATCTCGACTATGTAGCGCCGTGCGGTAGGATGATGGATAAATCGAAAGGATTTTGAAGGAAGCGGTTGTGGCCTAATCGATATACCATCCTGGAATTTGTCTGGAAAGACGGGACTTCAGTCACAGCTGCCGGTCTCTGTGTTTGGATCCGCGTTAGCATCGGCAGCTTATGAGCCCTGGCCGGGATTCGAACTGAGCATTTCCCGAATATATGTCAGTGTTACTGCTAGGCCAAATGTTCGGGCTGGTTCTCATATGAAATTCGCCGCCGCCACCGCGGCCACCTCCACCACCACCACCAATACTACTGCTGCTACTTTTATTATGTAATTAATTACAATTGGCAAGATCCACAAAATTAACTAATGCTAGGCGGTGAATGATAGGGGACCGCCTCTGTGGTCTAGTGGTCTGAGTTCCTAGCCACAGATCCGGAGGTCCGGGTTCGATTTCCGGCGCTACCAGATTTTCTGAGAAGTAGTGGGTCTGGAACGGGGTACACTCAGTCTCGTAAGCATAATTGAACAGCTATTTCAAGGAGATAGCGGCTCCGGTCTAGAAAACCGAAATTAACGGCCACCGTGGGGATTCGTTGCGCTGACCACGCGACACCCTCTATCCGCTAAAGCTGGCACTAACTTCGCCGACATGCGGCGGTCGCTCGGTCGGTATAGTTCGCTTGCGGACTAAAACCACAGAGTTTTTTTTTGCGACTTGTGAATGTCCAATAAATCTAATCATCAATCCAAACCCGGTTCACAGTCACTAATACACGTAAAAATATTATTTTCTCATCCGTGATGGAACTACCTGAACGCCGCAGTATTTCTTCCTTGGCACTACAGCCCCAGTGGGCCTAGGCCTACCTCCGTGAACTTCGTTCACTTCGGTTTTTCTCGATCTTACACATTCGGTAGGACTCCTTGGGCGAATGATCAGCTCGTCGCAAGGCCTCTACCTGTAGACAAACACAGAAAAACGCACACAAACATATATGCCCTGAGTGGGATTCGAACCCACGATCCCGGCTTCCGAGCGAGCGAAGACAATGCATGCCTTAGACCGCTCGGCTACCGTGACCGGCTGAACGCCGCCGTATTAGCGGCTAATACTCCTGCTACATACTTGGAATTGGATGGGAGTCGAATTTTGACTAATTACGCTGAAGTATTTTTTCTGGATTTCCTCCGTCCATCCAGGCAAATTCCGGCAAAATACCTCAAACTGGGCAACAACTCCTCCTTCCACATTGCTTCCAATTCATTTTTCATTAATTAGCCTACCATTCGCCATACATAATTTGAAATGCTGAAATCGTGGTTAAATAAGCCAACATCAAGTAAAATAAAATTTACTAGAACAAACCATTTAACTTTTATAACATACACTTTATAAACCATACATTGTATTTACAACTTTCAGGTGATTGATGTATTTCTGTAGTTAAGCCTCCAAAGCAGCCTGTTGTTCTCATGAAGAAGAGTTTTGTCTTCTGGGATATGACGCCATGTAGTCCGTTGAAAGTTAACTGACGTTTCAGAGGAACACGTCGCCTCCATCTTCAAGATAAAAGAATGAGCCAAGCAAGAATCCCAGAAGATAGAACTCTTCATAACAATCACTGTGAGAACCTTAAATCCTACAAAGATGCTTGCAAAAAATATCTGTATATATTTTAATGTCCTTCTTTTTTAAAACATATCATACAACATATCACATTCCATCATTCTGTACCATTCCAGCAGCATAATGAGATTGTGCTGGGTACTTCTGCTTGTCGTATTAATTGTGAGTGGCACTGTGAAGGGTGGCAAAGCGCCAAAGGACGACGATGGCGATGACAAGGACAATGGTAATGTAAATGATGGTAGGTACCTAGGTTTATATCTTCTATATTGAGTTAAATAAAAGGATGTTAAGAAGAATACTTACTGCATTTTATTTGTCTCATTCTGGTCCATCACACTAACAAATTACAAAGACAAAACAACTCCATCCAGTGTGACTATTGAAGTTTATAGTACTTAAAAACTTAACACCCTTACATGTTTCGGTCCCTATAGACCATCACGTGCAGGCCACGAACAACACAGGACAATACTAAGAATCCCCTTCTCAAGAGAGACAGGCGGCACAAGATCAGCCCCCAACAAGAAAGACGGCAGGAGAAGGGACATGAACCTACTTGGTTTATAAATTTTAACTTAAATAACAAAGTTTTAAAAACTTTAATATTCCAAGAAAGCTGGTGTAGTTGTGGAAAAGTTGGATTTTGTATATATTGTGCATTACAAATATTGTATGTATATGTATTTTAACACTCAGAACACCCACCGTGAGAGTAGTTTCCAAAAAAGAATCAATGTCCCTCTGATGATGGTCTATAGGGACCAAAACATGTAAAAGCTTTTAAGTAGTAAAAACTTCAATAGTCACATTCGACAGAGTTGTTTTGTCTTTGTAATACTTACTGCATTTACAATTCCTAGGCAGGCTTTGTGTATCAGCAGTTGCTCCAGTATCAGTGCAGCAATTATTCTGTTTTGATGAATTTACCAAAACCACGGCCATCTGCACAGGGCATAACACACGAATATGATTATATTAGACTGAGAGAGGCCTTTTTAGAGGTGTACCTCTACCTCTTATCAAAAACAAAATTAAAAAATACCAGTGATCTGAAGACTTCTGAGGCTCTAAATTTATGATGTAGAATTAATTTAACCATTTGTTCTGAAATATGTACAGGCATAATTTAATTTCAGATGACAACGGTAAAGATGATAAGGACGATGATGATGATGAAGAAGATACAGGCAACAAAGGTAAAGATGATGATGATGATGATGATGATGACGATGATGATGATGACAGTGGAGCAAAATATCTAGCCTCCATGGCTCCGGCTGTGTATTTAGCAGGAACAACAACTTTGAGAGTGCTTGGTTGAAGACTTGTGAAATCCATTCAAATAAAAATAAATATTTTAAATCCCTCCTCCAAACATCGTTGTTTTATATTTTACAAAAGAATATGACTCAAAACCTAAAAATATACCCATCCATCCATTCAACTGCAGTAGTTCTTGCTCTATATGCTGGCCATATATTATAAAAAAAACCTATTCACATGTCCTAGTATTCCATATTCTGTAATATACTCCTGATATTGCTATTCAAGAACCGCATTAAAAGGACAGCAATATGAATGGATAGATTTACTGTTAATATTCTGAGCACGTTTAAGAAGAGAAAGTAAACTGTCCCTCGCTGACATGCAGTAATGGCTGAGAACTACCGATCTGAGATGTAGTGGAGCTGGTCCAGTCAGCAAAATCTGCCCTGCATGAGCACACTACAATATTTGTACATTGATCAATGTCTTTTAGAAAGGTCCTGATTAAGCAGACTGTACTAATAAGATTCAAAATAAGCACAATAAAATTACAACACATGTATAATATTATAAACTTTTAACTGTTGTTGTATAATGATGATGGGTATCATTGGTAGCAATTATTGTGAGCCTAATTATTACTTATAAGCTATACATGGTGTCATCATGGGGGACAGAGCACTTTCAAAAGTAGTTCTAAAATATTAAAATGACTGTAAAGTTTGTGGTGGTCATGTGGAGCAATATCAGCAGTTTATTACTTTATTACATTAATTAACTGCTTTTCTCAAATTCAATTTTAAATATGTCTTGAATAATGCTGTATTTGCATTTTTTAGCAAAAGTTCACACAGGGTTGCATTCACTGTTGCATCTCAATGGTAGACAATATATTGTTTTTTGCCATATAACCTGTTGTGTGGAATTGTCAGGTGAGGCTCATGACAGGTTATGGAAGTCCATACTTGGCAACTATGTGTCTCACCTGTAACAGGTTTTGAATATCACTTGTCACCCATATATGGCAGGAAAGTAGCCTTTATGTTCATATAACTAGTTTCTGGCAAATCTTCACTATGGTTATATTGTTACTGTCTTTCTATCCTTTTTTTAAAAAAAGATGGTGTCAAAAGCGGTCAAAAGAGTCACAGTGTAGATTTGAAAACTCATACCATAAGAAGCATCAGACCATTTACAGGGTAAAGCAAAATGTACGTAATGATACTGCTGTCACTGTTTACATTGTGTTTACAAGCATGAAGATAGTGACTTTATTGCAGAAATAAAGGTGCCAGTATTCAGAATTGATGAGGAGGAAGGGGCATCTTTCCTAGCTTCCAAAGAAAATACATCTATTTGTACCTTTGTTTCTATGAAAGAAGTTGCTAATATGGTGTATCATTAGGTAAGGAGCCCTGCACATAGATGATGATGATGATGATGATGAACGTGAAACATCCTTTGAACACTAAATTACGTTAGAACAGTTCTATTGTTCTATGTAACTGTGATAAGGTAGGCCTACTTAGTTACCTCAGCAGGTATTCAAACTGTGGAAGTCATAGTGAGAGCTGAAACTGGGTTCAAGTTGATATAATTGTATTAGCCCTGTGACCTGCAACAAATGTTGCCACTGTATCAATCTGTTGTACTCACTAACTTATGGTAATAATAAACATTATTCCATCATAACACTTTTTCATGAAATTTCTGGTGAAGTTAGTGACAACTTTTGTGGATAGAGGGTGTCGCGTGGTCAGTGCAATGGATCCCCATAGCCGTTAATCTCGGTTTTCTAGACTGGAGCCACCATTTCCTTGAAATAGCTCCTCAATTATCCTCACGAGGCAGCTGCTAGGGAGAGTTTTTAGTCGAGTTCCGAGATTAAGGGTGACTAAAAAAAAAAAAAACTCTGTGGATGAGTCGCAGGCAAACTATACTGACCGAGTGACTGCCGCTTGTCTGCGAAGTTAGTGCCACCTTTAGCCGACAGAGGGTGTCGCATGGTCAGTGCAACTGGACTGAACAAGAAATGGTAAGAAAACGTCATAGCGATTTCAAGTGCTAGTTTCTGTGTTCAGATCCCTTGCTAGGAGACTAGTGGAATCCTAGTGTGTGGTCAACAGTTAACTGTAAATTGTGTAAATCAGAGATAGCACTGTATTAATTGTAATTAAAAGAGATTGTAAATGAAGTGCCAATAAATCCAGTCATCTGAACTAAAACCCATTATTTTCGTCACACACTTACTTACTTACTTACTTACTTACTTATGGAGCTGAGCCCTTCTTGAGGAGCTGCCAATTCTGCAGCTACTCAAGAATTTCCCAGCATTTTATGGAACCCAGAGGTTCATTATCGTGTTCACAAGAGTCCTCCACTGGTCCTTATCCTGAGCCAGATCAATCCAATCCATACCATCCCATCCTATCTCTCTAAGATCCATTTTAATATTGTCCACCCACCTACGCCTTGGTTTTCCCAGTGGTCTCATTCCTTCTGGCTTTCCCACCAATATCCTATATGCATTCCTCATCTCCTCCATCTGTGCTACATGCCCTGCCCACCTCATCCTCCTTGACTTGATCATTCTAATTATACTTGGAGAAGAGTAAAAGTTATGAAGCTCCTCGTTATGCAGTTTTCTCCAACCTCCTGTCACTTCATCTCTCTTCAGTTCAAATATTCTTCTCAACACCCTGTTCTCAAACACCCTCAGTCTATGTTCCTCCCTTAATGTCAGAGACCAAGTTTCACACCCATACAGAACCACGGGCAAAATTATAGTTTTGTATATTCTAATTTTTATGTTTTTTGGACATACCCCCATACACACGACAATATGGCTTGTTTTACTGAAAACAAACTATGAGCTCAAAAAGATTCGTAGTTATATTAACTAGCATTTATATGACAGGCATTCCATATTTCATGGATCCTCCTCATTATGACAAATCTTCCTTTTCATTATTGGAGATGGCAAAATGGCATACTGGTAGATTTTAAATAATACAATAAATCTGTGAATCAATTAATTTTCCTTTATTCATTCTTTGTGAAACATGCCTCATAATAATACCATGCATGCTACTAAAATAATCATGAATTTCTCTTTCCTGTGCCTTTCTGTTTCATTTATTATATAACCTCTGAGATGATGCTATCTTGTATACCTTTCATAACTGTAGCTTTTAGTTTTGGATTCTGTCAGTTCCTTTCTGTAGACAAAATTATTACCGTCTTGGAACCACCAAGATTTATGTCTGGTCTGAGTCTACCTAACTGTAGGCCTCTGTGCCAGCCTTTAATTCAAAGTACTGATCAGCCAAGAAACTTGAAGTATCGAATGTTACTGGTTTCATAGTCTCACGTGCAACACGTCTTTCTATAAATAACTTTCAAGAGTTTTCACCAGATGTTTCAATCAGTATGGTCATCATCAGGTGTTTAAAATTATAGTTGAGGAAACTGCTGTGCTTCTGTTGTCAAGGCTTCAGTTATTAATTTTTTAATGTATGGTCCCATCTATGCACATGTGTATTCCAAGTGATGGGCTGTTCTTCCTGCTGTGTTGTGCTATATTTCTCTTTTATAATTCCACACAGAGGGGACCATACATTAAAAGATTAATAACTATAGCTACGATAACAGAAGCACAGTAGTTTCCTCAACTATAATTTTAAACACCTAATGATGACCATAATGTCTGAAACAGGTAGTGCACAACTTTTAAAAAGTTAGAAATTGTACAGTGTGCAAAACTTTTAAACTGAATAACCTTTAATAAGTTTTATAGAAAATGTCTTGCATTTGATATGGTGGAACCAGCAACATTTGATATTAAATGGTGTACAGCAGGGTGCTACAATATTAATAAAACAGAAATTTATCAAACAGAATGAACTACTCCAGACACACAGATGCACAAAGGTAAAAAAGATAAAGTTCTTTCTGCACTTAATTAATTAAACACCGTGCTGTTATGAAATGAGGCAATGGAAGTATAGTCCCATTGTAAGATTTGAGGTTTCTACGGCGGTGACTATGAAGAAAGCAGTCTTATGGGATGTGGCCCCTCTCGTTGGTGTCTCCACCTTATCGTGGTGAGGGGGTTTGAGTATGCCAAGGACCCTGAGAGCTATACCAGCGGTAGCGTAGCTACTGGCAGGGCCTTCCTTGCTGGACAGGTCAAAGGGTAGGCATCAGACGAAGAGAGACACCAAAAACCGATGCTGGAAGCAGCGTCATCAGTAGCGACTTGAAGCACAAAGCAAATGATTCTCGAGATGGTTCAAGTTCATATAGCAACAGGCGTGACCAGAGTGGTTTGAACGGCTGCTGTTGTGCAATGTGGAAAGCAAATGGAAAAACTACCACATTATCACTTTTTCTGGATAGTCTCTTTCCAAAAACAGATATACCATGTATGTGAGATGTTTCCTCTGGAGACAAAACAATCCGGAGGTAAACTACTCCCCCAATTGGATCTCCAGGGGGGAGTGTTTCTAGAGGAAATGTCATGCAGGCGCTACAACAAGAAAAAGTGAGAAGACCAGAAGAAACATCATGGCTACAAGATTGGAACATGGGATGTAAGGACGTTGAATCAAGCAGGGAAACTGGAGAATTTGAAAACAGAAATGCAGAAGAATGAGGTGTCTGTTCTAGGTGTCAGCGAAGTGAGGTGGAAAGGACAAGGTGAAATAAGAAGTGATGATTATACAGTGTATTATTCTGGAGGTGAATGGGCTGAAAGAGGTGTTGCAATAGTGGTGCATAAAAGTGTAGTGAGGAGTGTTGTTAAGAAGATTGCTTGTAATGACAGAATTATTGCTCTGAAGTTAAAGGTGGAACCGGTAGATATACTGATTATGCAAGTGTACATGCCAACATCAGAGTATGAAAATGATGAAGTGGAAAAAGTGTATGACACAACTGAAGAAGTTCTTCAGGAAGATGGAAGAGGTGACACAAAACAGCATCATATTAGGAGACTGGAATACCACTGTTGGAGATGAATCGTATCAGAATATTGTTGGATCACATGGACTAGGAAGACGGAATCACAGGGGTCAAATGCTTATTGACTTTTGTGAAAGAAATGGACTGATTGTTACCAACACTTGGTTCAAGAAGCCAAAGAGAAGAATTTACACATGGAAGGAACCTGGGGATTGGAGGCGACAGCAGCTGGACTACATCCTTGTGAAACATTGATTCAGAAACAGTGTGAAGGATGTGAAGATTCTGCCTGGGCCAGATATTGACTCTAACCACAACTTACTTGTTGCCAAGTTTCGAACCAGGTTGAAGAAAATTATAAGATTCCAAAAGCGCAGACGTAGATGGGATTTAGAGAAGTTATATGCTCAAAGACAAAGCACGCAGGAGACCCTAGAAGAGAAACTCGGTGCAATTGAAGGTGAAAGCGGAAATGCTGAAGTGCAGTGGAACAATATTAAAGAATGCATGTTAGATACTATCAGTGATTTGGTTGGTAAAGTTGAGAAGATAGCAAGAAAACCATGGGTTACACAGGAGATGATGAGTAAAATTGAGGAGCGAAGGAAATGGAAGAATGTCAACAATGAAGAAGGCAGGAGGAAATACAGGAGACTGAGGAATGAATTGAAAAGAGCCACGGACAGGGCCAAAAAGGAATATCTTGAGAAGATATGTAATGAGATTATAGAATTTCAAAGAACAGGATGTTATGATTTGATGTACATGAAGACAAAAGAACTAGGATGGAAAGAGAATCA